ATCAGCTCACACAGCACTGTCTGTGAGGGAGTTTTCAGCCAGTAAACAAGTAACTGTATTGGAACACCCTCCCCACTCACCTGATCTGGCCCCCAATGACTTCTTTCTTTATCCGAAGAGAAAGGAAATATTGAAAGGAAGACATTTTGATGACATTCAGGGCATCAAGGGTAATATGATGACAGCTCTGATGGCCATTCCAGAAAAAGAGTTCCAACATTGCTTTGAAGGGTGGACTAGGCACTGGCATTGGTGCATAGCTTCCCAAGGAGGGTACTTAGTGATATTGAGCAATGAGGTATGTAGCCTTTTTTCTAGGATGAGTTCGAGAACTTAATTATCTGATCTTGTATGTCATAACTATATAGTAGTAAGTAGCCTTAGAGATGATCATAAACATTCTATTTTAACTAGAAATATGAAATTGGAAATAATGGAAAGGCTGTTAGTGTTTTATTACATAAAGGATTGTATAAAGAAATAAACTAATGGAATTCAGTCAATTGTGTTTTGGTGGGGAGATGGGAGAGGAGAAAGTACTTGTATTATGTTGGAAGCACAGATCATGGAGACTAAGCAAGAAAAATTGGTTAGCATTCAGCTAACACTGTTCTGAAAGGAGACAGTTTTACTTAAACTAGGGGTCCAAAAATGAGATAAAATATTCTTAGAGGTCATTCTATTGTTTTCTTTTTGGTTTCATAGTTTTTTATTTTGTTTTGGTTTCTTTAGATTTTCCCCCACTATGAAAGGAAAGCAGTGATTTTTAGAGGTGATATAACTTGCCAATTTGGTATCTTTGATAACTGCTGAGCTCATTTCCAAGCTTGGTTTGATTCCCAGTTACAATTCTGTTAGGATGAGAGTATGTTTACCAGATGATACAAGTATGACTCTTTAGCTTGGGGGTATACTAATTATTCTTTCTTGTAAATTAATAGGATTATCTGATTTATATCTTGGTATCTTGTGAGTTTGGTGACTCACATAACTGAGAAACTGGGAAGACCGAAGAACAGTTTTCAATGAATTCTCACTGTTCCATGTTAATTTACTTACAGGGAGTATACAGTAGATATCTTCTTGGAAATAATGTATCTGAGAATAGCTTTCAGTTTGCCAATGTTGTGCAACCTCTGGCAGAAACTGGTCTGCAGCTCTCAAAAAGGTAAGCAAAATAGATTGCTAGGCTGACTCAAATTAGAGCCTTTATTAAGTATGTGAAGGTTATAAACTTTAGGGGGATAGGGATTGTTTTTATTTCTTACACCAGGATTGCTGCTGCCTATCACAGTAGTTTGATAAATCTCTTATCTGCCCAAAAATAAACTGACTTCAAAAATAAAAATTACCCGTATTTATGATTAAAAGTATTTTGATAACTTGAGTGTATAAACTTTTAAGGATATAGCTAAAACTCTCAAATGTTTCCTTCTAAGATTTCTTACTTACATATACCTGTTTAAAGTTACAAATTATATAAGGTGACTTATTAAATTTAGAAATATTGCTCTTTTGCACCATTACATCATGATATTTTATTCAGACATTTCATACCCATCCTTGAAAT